ATCAGATCTGATGTTGTAACCATAGTAGCAGGGGCCGTACAATCCCTACTCAAATGCCCAGTCCGACCGCACTTGTAGCAGCCGGAACTCCCTGCCTTGCACGCCCCCTCGTGCAATCTCCCACACTTGCCACACCGACCGTGGCTCTGCTGACTCCTAGACCTGTGATCTGAAACCTTGGGCTTTTTGCCCACACTGCCTGAACCCGAAACCGCCTCCGGTTTCCTCTTCTTCTCCATCTCGAGATCAATCTCCCTCTCTCTAGCTCTGGCAATCATGTCGTCCAGCGTTTTACAACTGGACCGGCTCACAAACATGCGGATGTCACTCCGCAACATCTCATGATAACGGCCTTCTTCATCTCCTCATCGGCTGCATACTGAGGAACAAGAAGGGCCCTCTCCCTGAACTTGGCGGTGATCTCCGCCACTGTCTCTGTAGTCTGGGTAAGGTCCTGAAACTCCCTAGCTAACTGCTGCACCTCAATGACCGGTGCAAACTCCGCCCTGAACCTGGTAGAGAAATCAGCCCAGGTCATGGCATCCAATGCCGCATCATCCCCGATGGCATGTCCGACCTCCTCCCACCAATCCCGTGCCCTGTCCTTCAGAAGACAGGACGCCAATCTGACCTTGTCCCCCTCGGGACACCTGCTAGTGCGGAAAGCGTTGGCCACATCCGCCAACCATCTAGTACTCGCTATGGGGTCCCGCGCCCCATGATAGTCTGGAGCCCGCATGCCCTGAACTCCCTGAACGTAAGTGTGCGCGACCCCATCACGGCCGCCATCTCAGCACGGAAAGTACTCAATCTCTCATCCATCAGCTCTAAAATACCCTCCTTGATCGAACCGAAGATCACAGGAGTCTGCTCCAGTATGATGCGGGTAACCTCAGAAGAAAGGAACTCTCTAGTCTGCTCATCCATCTGCCCGACCTCCGGGCCTGATCCCGATCCTGATCCCCTCCGGCATCTGAGCTGCCGACTGCTGGTCTCGGACGCAAAACTACCATTCTGAAACATATCATAACAACATCAGAACACTGAAATATCTCAAGGGATCATGACACTGCTACTAGCTTCCTGGTCTTGTCTTGGCCTTCCTTGATTCGAGTACGGATCCTCTGCTTTCAGTAGTACGGGCCCATACTACCTTCCACATCTATCCGTACTTTCCTCAAGAACTGCCTTGACTCCACCAAGTCACTTCTACTACTGCTATTCTCTGCTACTCTCATCCTAGGCTTGCCCTAGGGAAACCTCAAGCTCAACACGACTGGTCCTCAGCTGCTGTAGGTCTCCTCATAATGCCAGTTAGCCACCACCTAAACACCATCACATGTGATGAGGATCAGATAATCCTTCAAGTAAAAGATCCGTCCCTACAACGGTTGGACTCAAACAAGAGCTGCGCAATAGGGCCAGTTCCAGCACTCTGGGATTATTCAAACCTGATCACATGTGGTGTGACGTGTTCACCTAATGGCTAACTCCCATTACTCAGAACCCCACCAAGCACGAAGCAAGCAGCATTCGGACAAGGGAAACAGACTCAGGCCAAACTATTCTCATAACAAGAAACTGCACTAGCATAGGATGCTAAGCTTCCACTAACAGGCATAACCTAATCAGGCTATCCTACTGCTGTCTACTCAGTACTAGCATGCAATACTCATAAAGCTGTAACACATAAGCAGGCACATAAGGCATTCTCCTAGATCCTTAGTCCTATACTAGCATGCTGTTCTACTGAAACTGAAACTGAACAATTAACTTGTATGGGTAATTTGGGAGTACTTACTTGAGCTCGGCTGACCGCATGCACACACCTCTATCTTGTTAAAAACAATTCTTTCTTTCTAAGTGCTTTCAAAATTCTTTTTGGTAAAACATTTTTATTTTACTAAAATCTTTTATTTCCCTTAGTTTGAGTTCAGACACACCCGGAAGTGTATCCGAATCCCTCAAACCAGGGCTCTGATACCAACTTGAAACAACCCAAAAATACGACCCAAAAATTTCGTTTTTCAATATAATCAAAACCATAATATGAGTATCATAACATAGAAAACATACGCGATGTATCCCAAATCATAATAAAATACTGTGCGGAAAACTGTATCATACTATATCAAATCCAAAACAACTAAAACCATCCCCAGGATAAAAGCTAAGTTGTGGTGTGTGCGATGCTATCACCCCGAGCTCTTCCCTTTGCTTGCGGAAGTACCTGAAACCAAAACTGAAACTGTAAGCACGAAGCTTAGTGAGCTCCCCCAAACTACCACATACCATACAATAACATATAAACACATATTGGGCCTCGCCCACTGCATCGGGCCGAAGCCCGGAAACTGCATTGGACCGAAGTCCGGAACTGACTGGGACCTTGTCCCCTGCATCGGACCGAAGTCCGGAACTAACTGCATCGGACCAAAGTCCGGAACTAACTGGGACCTGTCCCCTGCATCGGACCGTAGTCCGGAACTAACTGCATCGGACCAAAGTCCGGAACTAACTGCATCGGACCGAAGTCCGGAACCGACTGGGACCTTGTCCCCTGCATCGGACCGAAGTCCGGAACTGACTGACTGAACATGGCATAGCATAACACATCAACTACATGAACACATATACGGCATACTACATCGGGCCGTAGCCCGGAACACATAACACTTAACGCATAAAACATAGCACACAAATCCTGTTCGAGCCACGAAGGCATCAAACATACTAGCTACTGCATCGGACCTAAATCCGGAAACTACTGCTAACTGAACGGGCCGGCATTGTGGCCTTAGACCCGTTCCTACTGGAAGGAAACTCACCTCGTAAGCTGGCTGCTGAGTGTGTGGCTCGGGAAGCTAACGGCTGCTGCTCCTGAATCTCCTCGGCTACAAGTCCATAAACACACTCAATCAAATACTAAACACTGCGCTTGGGGTAAAATGACTCTTTTACCCTTGGTCAAAGTCAACTCTCTTTTGGGCTGACTCGCCGAGTTGGGCCGCCCAACTCGCCGAGTCCTACTCTCACTTCTCAGTTCTACACGCTGCTACTCGTCGAGTGTGGCATCGACTCGACGAGTACCCACTTGATCCAAGAACTCAGACAATCTTCATCCGACTCGCCGAGCCGTATGAACAAACTCGACGAGTTGTTCTTGATCTTAAGAAGATTGCCTTGGACTCGCCGAGTTGTATGAACAACTCGCCGAGTCCCTCCATCACTGAGTCTACTCTCAACTCGCTGAGTCCACTCTCTAACTCACTGGATCCACTCGACACTGATAAAAATGAAGGAATCGGGAACTCGCGACCCAACTCGCCGAGTCGTTCTTCCCGACTCGCCGAGTTGCCGCCATGCAACTGATTTTTACTCGATTTTTTTGAATCCAACACATACAATTGATAGATCTGAGTCCAATAAGCTGATTTACCACGTAAAGTTTCCAACTTTACGTGTACAACCTCATGAATAAGGGAAATAAGGCTAAAAGATGCACAAAATGGGTAGATCTATGGTTAATATGCAAAGTAACTCCAAAAAGGCAGTAGATCTGGGCTCTACAACACCCAATCATTCAGATCTAAAGATATCTCGACTTATTAAGGCATTCATGCAAACATAAGGCTTGGAACAAGCATCAACTAGATCTTAGAAGAGCTCTAATGGAGGTTTAAAGCATATAACAAGAGGGGAAATCCGAAAATACCTCAAATAACTCAGATTTGCCCTTGGATCTTTGCACCACAACTCTTCTCCTTGCTCCTTTCTTCTTCTCCTTCTTCACACCTTCACAAAATGGCACACAAAAATGCTTATAAGCTCTCAAGGTGGATTAGGGTTCTTTCTCACAGCTTTAGAGGGTGAAGGAGGCGAGAATGGGGGGCTATAAGGTGACTTAAATAGTGGGAAACCCGGGGATTTAAGGGTTTCACCCAGACGGATGGACTCGCCGAGTCAGGGATATGGACTCGCCGAGTCCCTGGCTCATGCATGCTCGAAGTCGCGACCCTACTCGGCGAGTCAGGCTATGAACTCGCCGAGTCCCTCTTGCAAAACTTACAACAATTACCAATGAATTAACATACCGGTAACGGGTCGTTACATATAATCACTAGATGTTATGTTATATCAACTAATCAAGTCGAGAAACACTTACGTTTTCGGGAAATCGGGCGAAAACCGGGATGATACTTGAGAGAGTTTGGAGTTTACTCTTTAGGTTGCAAGAAAGAATGAGACACATTGGGGAGTAAACTCATGCTTAAGGCATGAGTTTATGGTTTTTAAGGGAGTTTACGGCCCAAACATAAAATTTTGGCCGTGAACTTCTAAGCTACGTGGTATTCGCGATTTAGAAATTTCAAGACCCGAGACGGCACATTCTTTCACCCGTTCATTTAAAGAATAATTATTATAATAGTCAAACGAATCTTTAAATTTGTTAAAAACAAATAGAACTGAAATTGACTTATAATATGAAGTGATTGACTTTTAGGTTTTGACCGAATGAAAATTTCGAGTTGTCACAAATTATGTCTATTAATAACATTTTTAAATCAAATATTTCCAATTGGTGCTTTAATTTGAACTATGTACTTGATGAAAGTGAGTAATGAATAGATCTTCCTCTAACTAGGTTGTTTTGGTTTTTATCCAGCTACAACATTAACAGGATTTCATTTTGTTGTAACTGCACTGGTTGGGTTTGTGTCAAATTCTACGGGATACACTTTATCGATGCATGTTCCTTTGTGGGAACTTCTTTGGTTCTCTATTGTTGCAAATATGTCAATTGCAACAATGAATTTCAGCCTTATGCTTAATTTAGTTGGATTCTACCATGTATGTATTTCTATCCACATATTTTACTTTGAACTTTGGTGTTGTGTCCTTGATTATAACCATATATGTTTGATCTTATGTATCTTGCTTTGTTGTAGTTATAAGCTAACAAGAGACTGGTCTGAGTGTTGTAGATAGCAAAATTGAGCATGATTCCAGTGGTTTGTGTGATGGAGTGGATCCTCCATAGTAAGCATTACTCAAAGGAAGTTAAATGTTCTGTTGTGGTTGTGGTGATAGGCGTGGGTGTTTGCACTGTCACTGATGTCAAAATTAATGCCGAAGGTTTTTTATGTGCTTGTGTCGTTGTTTTAGCCACATCATTGCAACAAATTGTAAGTACATCAACGTGTATTTTACCCATATAAATAATATTCCACCTTTTCGTTCATATATATGTTAGTAACATATATTATATATTTACATAAAGGTCCCCGGTTTAAGTCCATGGGCCTGTTTGATTTAGGACATGTTCAAGGGAGTAATGTTATGATATTTCAGAAACCCAGAAAAAACCCGAACTTGAGATTTTGTCAAATTGTTGTGATTTGATTTCTCTTCGAATCAGAAACAATTTGCACATTCTTTGTTTTCTACTCCAGTAAGTCGACAACTGAGCAATTGATTTTTAGTTTCTGCTTACCATTTGTCATTCTTTTATACTAACAGTAACAATATTATCTAGCAATTGAAGAAGAACTGAAAGTACAACAATCATGTCGCTCATTCTAAACATATAGAAATCAACTAACTACTCTTCATCCATAGAAAAGTGTTGTGGAACTAGTTCTTGGCTTGCAATAGTTTCATGTTAATCTAGTTGTGATATGAAAATAATCCATGTCTCTTCTTCCTTCTTGTCCTAATCTAATCTAACAGGATATCAAATGCAAGAAATAGTAATGTACTTTATTTGTTTGTTCTTTATGGCAATCTAATTCTACTTGTTCCTATTACAGAAATTTACCCAATTGTAGCATTAATGTCCTCCAAATACAAATACAAATATAAAGCAATTTTCAATGCGATGTATTGTACTTTGAAAAATCTACTCATTTAAAAATATAACGTTGTAACTGGATGGGTTTTTCAAAGCACGATGCATGTGTTGATAAGAAAAAAATACACAAATAAATGAGAGTACAATGCTATTTCTTGCACTAGTCGAATCTATTATATATGAAGATGTTGCTCATTTCTCAAAGGAAAGGAATGGATCATGTGTTGCAGTTGATAGGGTCTTTGTAGAAGAAGTACTCGATTGGAGCTTTTGAGTTGTTGAGTAAGACGGCTCCTATTCAAGTTGTGTCACTCCTTGTATTTGGTCCCTTCATTTACTATTATCTTAGCACAAACCTTATATTCGATTACATTAAGACCATAACTTCTGGTGCAATTGTAAGCAACAACCAAAACCTCATATATCCATCCATAACATATTATATATATATATATATATATATATATATATATATATATATATATAAAGTAAGTCGCATGCATGGTGATGGTGATGTAGGTGTTCATACTCCTTTCATGCTCGTTGGTGGTTTTCTGCAACATTAGTCGGTACCTATGTATCGGACATTTCTCAGCAGTTTCATTTCAGGTTTTAGGCCACATGAAGACAGTATGTGTCCTGAGCCTTGGGTGGTTCTTATTTGATTCAGAATTGACTTTCAAGAATATTATGAGGATGCTGGTTGCAGTGGCAGGGATGGTAATTTATAGCTGGGCAGTCGATGCTGAAAACTCCTCCTCCAAGATCACAACTCATACTAAACACAGTTTGACTAAAGATGAGCTCAATTTACTCAAGGAAGGTTTAGAGGACATCCCCATTAAGGATTATGAGCTTGTTCAATCTAAATAGCTACACGCTTCACTTTATTTCTTATGCATTTAATTTGCTCTTTCCTTGCCATTTAAATCCTTTTCTCCATTCATCAAATAGGAAGTTTTTGACATTTCTTTTAGTTATACAGATGAAGCTTTTTGGCTTTTGTTTATAACTTTATATTCATTTTTACCCTCCCTCACATTTGATATAGATGATAGTTGCAACTTGAACCATGCTACAAAACATTCACATGTTCTTTGATTGAATACTAGGATTGAACTTGTAGATCATTTAATGCTTTGGTTCACGTAATTAGAATTTCAATTTATGCATTGTTTCTTGTGAAGACCACGTCCTGTTGGGGAGTTGTGAAGAATATTGTTATGATTGGTGGCTTGCTAGAAGTACCAACTATTTTTTCCTAAGAAAAGTGACAATCCACTTCCATGTGTTTTGTTCATTCATGAAAAATCTGGTTCTTGGATTCAATGTTGCAATACATGCTATCCATCGATTTACTTGTGTGGTTCCTTGATTTTTGAGCTTGAGACATCAAATCCATGTCAATTCACGTGTTGGTGTCGTTCTATTCATATTTTGCACTAGCTAGGTAAGGAAACTATATGTTGCTTCATTTTTCCAGGACAGTAGATTTTTACCAAAGAGGATACAATGTCTTGTGGTTGACCTTCGACTGTAATGACATGAAGCCTGACCTACATCCAAGTATCTTGGTATCCAAGTGTTCCATTGACTTTTTCCTTTAGTTCTTTTAAGGAACATTAAATTATGTTATGCACATACTCTGGTCACCTTATTTTAGAGAAAGGGTAGTTTGGGATAATCATCAAATAAAGAGCATCTTGATGGTACAGGGGCATTATGGGTATTTTATATTATTTAGTTGTTATGACTGATAGTATAAGTGGGTAGTGGGATAGGAAGTGAGATATCGATCTTTTCTGTTAAACCTGGAATTGTTTCCTTTTTGGGAGAGTGGCTATCTCGAATCAGCTAACCAATCCTTTTGTTCTTGATTTTGTTGAGTAATAGTAAAGGAATTGCATTCTGTTCTTTACATTGTGTTGTTCTTGTTGTGGTTACTCATTAAATTAAGTAAGTTCATAACAAAAGGTATCAGAGCATTCATCTGGGATTAGGGTTGGAGATAAAGGAAGGAAGGAGGTTGGAGGAGCTCAACTCAAGAGGGTTGAGTTGCTAGAGACAGAATTAGGGCATGTGTACGATCGAATGGAGAATCCAGGGCATCTGATCCAACATACTGCTGACTCCATGGCCTCTCTTCAGCTGAAGATGGAGCAGAAGTTCGAAGAGGTTTTGATGGCAATAGCCAAGAGCCACCTAGAAGAACCAAATGGAAAGAAATCAGTGGGAGAAGAGCACAACAGCGACCCTGTTTTTTCGCGGGTGGAGACAACGAAAGGGACAAACCCTACGAGATTCAGTGGAGGTTCAAGAAATGAAATAGGAGGTGGTTCCGACGGTGGAGGCGGTGGCCATACAACCGGAGGCGAATACAACGGAGGAACCAACTGGAGAATCAAGAAGCTAGAGATACCGCTATTTAATGGAAATAATTCGAATGGCTGGGTTCTTGAGGCAGAGAGAAGATTTGTAGATTATCAATTATCAGAAGAAGAAAAACTGGAGGTTGCGGTAGCGGCACTAGAGGGCTACGCTGCTCTCTGGTATGATGAAGAACACTATCGTCGACCCATTAGAGATTGGGAAGAACTAAAATTCCTAATCCTCTGGCGATTTGGATCCTCAATGTTCGCAGCGGAGTCATGGTGGTCGGACTACCATGGTGGAAGGCAGTCGGAGCACCGATGCAAAAATGGGCCTAAAATTGACAATTGGGCTGAAACTAACACCTTGGGCTCACATAAACCGAGTCAGGAAAGCGACTTGTTAAAAGGTAACAGTTTAAAATCCAGCCCAATCTTTATTAAATCAGTTAATTATGAAGAGAACTTAGGGGTATTTGGTTTAGCTTTTCAAGTCCAAAAGTCCTTTTTAAAAAAGAAAAAAAAAACGAAAGATGATTGGCAAAGCTGGTTTTAAAAGTTACTTTTTGAGTTTTTATAAAGGAAAATGAACTTTTTGGAAAAGTCAGAAAATCCTGACCTTTTGTAACTTTTCCAAAAAGAACTTTTAAAAGCTAAGCCAAACACCTGTTGGATTAGTGTCTAAGTCCATAACTGTTTTGGTATGTACTTGACCCGATTATGAGCATGGTCCTTTTGGGTTGCCTTCACCATAGCAATATGTAGGATGATTTAAGGAGAGAAAGGTTTAAATATGATTTATTAATATATTATGAGAATAATATATTAAAGGAGAAATCATATTGTTTAATTAATATTGGTCAAGAATTAATTTTGTGGTTAAAAGAGATTAATTAAACTTAGGGGACTGAAGTTGTAATTATAAGATAATTATAATTGGGCTATGGATCACCTAATAATATATAGGTTGAACGAATTCTATGGGAAGCCCATTAGAAATCATCCAAGGGATATGTTTAAGGAGTCCATGGGCTGCTTAGGGCCTAAGCAGTCAGATTAGGGTTTCCTAGTTGTAAACCCTAATAGCCTACATGTATAAAAGGGACCCTTAAGCCCCAAAAACGTGAAAACACTTCCATTAGGGTTTCCAGCCGTTTTTGGTGCCTCTTTTTCTTCTCCTCTTCATCCAAGTTGCATATGGTGTTTGTGACTCCATTAGAGGTACTACACTTGTGGTACTTGCTTTCAAGAGCTAAGGAAATTCAAGGAACTAGTTGTTATTGCTATATAACAACAAAAGGTATGTATTCTAGCTTTATATATGAATTTCGAAAATTATAGTAGCATGCCAGGTTTCTTTTTGTGTTCATAAAGTTGTATAACTAATAGTGAAAACATAGATCCAATACTAGGGTTGCATGCACACATAGGATTGTTTGTATAACCCATCAGTGGTATCAGAGCCATTGGTTTTTGTTTTCAATTAGCTTTTATTCAAATTTGTGAACTTGACATATTAGGGTTTATGGCTAATAAACCCTAAAGGCTAGGTAATTTTCGCAATTAGGGTTGCAAAACCCTAGATGGCGATTTTTGCTAGGGTTTCCCAAATCCTTTCCTTAGCCTCCAAGATTTTGAAATCTAGGGTTATCCAACCCTTGGATTTCGAAATTACCTCCTTCCCCAAGGTTAGATCCTAAATTTTAGGGATTTGGATAATCCCATATCTTGTAATTATCTTTTAATTGTTAAATATGGTAATTAAAGATCTTGAATTATCCCATCCCTTATTTTCGAGATTTAGAGAGGGATTCAAGGGATTAGGATATCTTAGATGTATAATTGGTAATTATCCTCATGATCTAGATAATCCCTTGTGATTTAATAATTTAAATTAATTGTTTAATTTATGGTAATTATTAAATCAAGAGTTTTAATATTTAAAATTTTAATTTAAATGTCTTAAATTCGAAAATTTTAAGTGAGATTAAAACCTAATTGTTTTGAAGAGTTTCAAAACTTGCCCTCAAGTTTTGGAATTTAAATTGTTGATTAAAAGTTAATTTTGAAAGTCTAAATTCCAAAACCCTGATTTTGAAAAGTTCAAATTAAACCCTTATGGTTTTATTAAATTAATTAAGTGTATAATTAAAAGAGATTTAATAAATCCATAATGATTTTGGTTAATTAAAAGTATAATTTAAACCACCTAGTATTTTAAAAGTGTAAAATACACCCTTATACTATATATAACATTAAAAGTTTAATATTATATATGTATAACTAAAAATTCAGTCTTACCGTTAGTAGGCCTCATTCACGAAGCTAGTCTATAAGGGGTGTTTAAGGAAATTGCCTATAAAATGGCGATTGAATGGGTATCCACTCTTACCCACCGCACTCTTGACTAGTGGAGGGTCGTTAGCCGAACGGGTAGGATAGGACAGAAACCTTCCATTATAAGTATAATGAAGTACAAAGTAACTAAATGCTTTTTCAAATTCCCAAATCATAGTTACTTTAGGCAAAATGTGAAATTGTATGCTAACCCATGGAATTACACTTCGTACCCTTGTCAAACGTTAGTGGAGCGTGTGTGGTTAACCGGCACACTAATTTGGGGATGACATTGGTGGCAAAGGGTGGCTCGATGCTTATCATAGATCAATGGAGCGTGTGTGGCTAACCGGCACATTGATTAGGTGATAGTAGCATTGGGTGCACCACGTGATTCGTATGGTTATTTACACCTTGTTTGTGATCCTCGGCATCCCAGTCACAAATAGTAGGGCATAATCGAGATTAAACATGCCATTGAAGAGTTCAATGAGTCTCAAAAGATCTAGGAGTTTCAATTCATTTAAAACTTAAACTTCTTTTTCGTTTTTCATGGTGGAAATTGGTAAATCGTCATTTACCTACCTTCAAATATTCTGCAACTAGATTACGGCATCCCTCTTCTAGGTTGTAGAGTATTGTGTTGGATCCTAGCTTGATGTTTCATTTGGGTGTTGCATCAAGAATTCTAATCAACTTAACTTGAATTTTCTCCCGTTTTGTAGATGTCTGAATCTTACAATGGTCTTCCCAAATCCTTTGGAACAAGCTTTCCAAATGAAGATGACGTTCCGAGATACGATCAAGGAAATGAGAGTCATGCTTCACTTCCTCCACCTCCTCCAATTATTCTCCCTGACCCACAAGTTCAAAGGCTTGAAAAGTTCAAGCTCACTCAAGCCCTTTTGGCAAGTAAACACGAAGATGGGAAACCTGTGTGTGCGCACGTCTTAGAGATGAAGTCATACATTGATAGGTTAAACATGTTGGGTGTCGAGATTTCAAGTGAGTTGGCTGTTGACTGGGTTCTTCAGTCACTTCCTGAATCATATAGTGAGTTCGTTAGAGAGTACTATATGATGGACCACGACGTGACCCTAATTGATCTCACCTATTTGCTTATAGCTGCTGAATCAGCAATGATTTGGCGTGCTGGTCAAGCAAATTTGTCTAGTGAATCAAACTCCCAAACTTCAATGGACACTGGCAACATTGGAAGTCCAGAAAGAACTAAGTCTGTGATTGTCCGATGTGTTGTGCCAAAGGAGTCTATTTGCTTTTATTGCCAAGAGAAGGGGCATTGGAGACGAAGCTGCCCTAATTACCTGAGAGATCTAAGAGATGGGAGAGTCAAGACGTATGGCTCTGCTTCAGGTAAAATCCATTAACTAACTCTTTTAAGTTCCTATTCTAGATTCTTAATACATGATGTGATAATATTACATTTTGATGTTTTGTAGGATCGAAGAAAAGAGAGGAAGCTTGAGAAAAGAAGTGAGCTGAATCTGATCATGAAGAAATGGATTTCGATCGCATTACTTGAAGAATGGATTCTTGAGCTACAACTTGGAGTTAGAATAGATTGTTAACATAGTTTTTCAGTTGAATTGCATTGTAAGGACAAGTTTTTTCCGCAATAAAATAAATTTTGATTTTGTCTTATTTATTTATCCTTACAATGAAATATATGAAAAATTGATGTTCATGTACTTCTATTATTAGCAAAATGGATTTGATTCTTAATTATGGAAATGTCAAAAGTGTACCAAATAGGGAGACTTTCTCATCGCCCAAGTTTCAATTGGACAGAAACTTGGAATCATGCAATGTGTATTGTATGATGAATGGAAAACTTTCACATTTGGGAAACTTAGACTAATTCTTTGGCAAAGTGTCAGTTGAAGGACTAGGAGATCAAGTACACTAGGTTGTGCGTTGATCAAGTCCACCACAAGAGTGACAAAGATATTCGTCATGATTTACTAAAGTTTAGTAAATGTGATTATACTTATAAGATTAAGTGTAATTCTGAGATTGATTGAAAGAGTTTCAATGAATAGTAGAACGAATAAAGAAGAATCGAGTAGGCAGAAAGATAAAAGTTTCTCTTTTCTAGGAAGAAGGGAGAGTACCTTTTATTGTGTTTTATGATAAGTCTAAAGATTAAGAACCATGTCTCAATAGATCCTCTAAGTGAGTCTTAGTGCAATTGCATGTCTAAGAAGAGGAATCAAGTATTGTAGAAATGGTTAAATCAAGAAGTCAATCACACTTCGTTCCAATATCAAGTCTTAAAGTCAAGATTGTGACATTGAGTGAAAAGTTTTAAGTAGGTTTATAACACTCATCAAATATGGAACTTGGAAAAGTTTTCTTATTCTTGTACATTTGAGATTGGTAAGTTGTGATGTCTTGGATAAGACAAAGACCAACTAGGACCAACTTGTGAAGTGTTCTTGTCTTGATAATAACTGCACTGACTCTTGAATATTTGATTGTCAAGAAATGTTTCTTGACAAAGAGAATCATATATGTCAAGAGGTCAGTGGGAGTTTTAATGTTTTGAAAAAGTTTCAAGAACAAATCAAATAAACCTTATCGATCATCACTAGCGCACGAGTTGAGGTTTACAACCTATCGTGTTGACATTATTTTGATTCCGTGCCAATCCAATCGAGTTAATTATGCATGTGAGTTCTATGAATTCTCATTTGAATGCATAAAAAGCAAGGACCTTGATCAATGAAAGTACGTTGATAAGAAAGGGTGAGCTGCTTAACTACTTGGAAGACATGGTGGGCAGCTGTGCTATCATAAGGCAAGAAATCAAGATTAAGAAAGGTCAGTCCATATGAGTTTGAATTTGTCATAAACTTTGGTTTTAACAAATTCACATGGATAGGAACAAATACACCATTTAAATCTAAGTTCATAAGATTTCCTCCTTCATGAAAATGATTGTGAGGAAATGCTTTCACTGAGAAAGATTTTAAGAAGATAGTGATTGTAAAATTGCATTCTCGAATTCGATCATGGTTACGGTATCCCTTTCCATAATTTGAATTGTGAGGTTTGGCAAATAGTCTTAATTGTTAAGACACACATATGAACTATCTAAGGCAAAGGTGTATAAGTTCAAGAAGCCTTGATAAAAGATTATCAAAGCACTAAGTATTAGAAACATGGACTTAAGAAATTCAATAGTTATTGTCTTTCTGA